AGGACATGTACTGGAGGCGGTTCCTCCTCAGGCTCCCTTTCCCGATGCACCTGCTGCTCACTGAAAGCCATGACTGGCATTGCTGGGCAGAACTTCTCAATGATGTCTGGGTACAATGCATACATGATGTACTCACACATGACCTTTGGATAGCGCCCTGTTGCAGTGGTCTTGGATCCTTCGATCACAGAATGCTTAAACTCAGGTTCGTGTTGGCATCGTAGCTTGGAGAAAATCCGAGCAGTTCTACCACAAGTAGTTACAACCCTCCATTTCTTCAAATGGGGATGACCCTGAGAATCTGCAACCCCAACCCTGCAACCATCAAAATCGATGTGCATCATCTCCAACTCCTTGATCATGCGCTTGATCTCATTGGTGACCCACCCGACACAAAATCGAGGCCATTCAAAATTGACTCTTCCTCCGTTCCTGATGACAACCTTTGCAAGACGATGGAATTTCTTGATCATCAAGCGAGACCTCATGCGTTGAATATCAAGTCTATCTGAAAATTCTGTGCCATATCTACTTGTGTTCATCGTCTGCCATTGAGACCACGGTCCACAGGGCAGGCTACCCCATAAATCACAACCTGGTTCGGATTCAACAATCTTTTCGAGACTCTTGATGACACCTTCCTGCTCCACGTTCAAAGAAAACTCGGTGCATCTGACAACATGGATGCCATACTCTTTGGCAACCTGCCCAATCATAGAATCAGATGACGTACAGAATTCTATCATCATACCATGTCCAGGTAATGATTCATGGTGTTGTTCAATGGTCACATTTTCACAAGGCTGTTCTGAACGGGAAAAAACTGTATGTTCTTGTGCTACATCTCGTGCGATTCGTCTGTATACTTCAGCCTCGGTTGGCTGTTTGCTGGCCTTCTCCTCTAGGAAATTGGTAAGGTCCTGAACCATTCCATCAATAGAAACACCATGAATTTTCTTTGGAGCTTGATACACCTTGGATGGACCCCCCTGACCAGCAGCACTGGTGGCATTCCACCGTTGACGCCTGCGGGCCTTTCGATTGGCCTTCTTCAAGTGCTCTTGATAGGGCTGAACTTGCTGAACTTCTTGTGCAACAACAACGGCCTTCTCACCTGTCACATATTCGCGCTCCAGCGCGCTCGCGACGATGACGCGATCAGCACCTGAATCCTCAGCTGGAAGCATAGAACAAACACACGCATATTTTCTCTCCATGCCCTCTTCACAAAAGATCGGAGGCGGCTCACCAACGCATTGATTGCATGTTGCAGCCATGTTGGCAACATCACCCTTTTCACAAGCATCCTGACATCCAATCTCCTCTGAGTCTGCAACCGCCGGCACCGCCTCATTTTCCAACTGCTGGGGCTCGATGGCGAAGATGGGAACGTTGTTCTGGACCCTTTTGGCGTACCACCGGTGTTTCAAAGGACACCATATCTTGCACTTCTTGTGATTTAGTGCGATGTACGGGGCTTCACCATGACGCCAAATGAAAATTCTACCCTTCTTGATTTGTCGACCAATAGACATCGCCAATGGGCAATGCTCAAGAAGATGCAGCTTCAAGTCCCCAACACGTTGTGCATAGAGTTTCAACTCCTCATGAGATGTCTGCGGTCCACCTCCCGTTGCAAACCTGATCGGATTGTCAAGACAGCTAATCCATGGTTTCACCAATGCAGGATCTATGCCTTGTTCTCGAAGGGCTTGAATGGAACCAATGTCAAGGGCAGCACCAGTATCTCCAAGAAGCTCAATGCTCATGGACTTGAACTGCTCAACACACGGATGAATGGCAGATGCAGCTGTCATGTACTCAAAGTTGGGTAAGTCAACGATTGATGAAATCAATGTAGCCAAAATGGGAACACTCAACTTCAGGAAGACGGACATTGACGGCAGGGCCTTCGAGCAGAACTCGCAGAAGCCTTTCCAAGCTTCCATGACCTTCTTCCCATCGACCTCAGTGATGGTGATTGTGGACGCCGCCGCGGCAGCTGCTGCTGTCGTCGGAGTAGAGGCCACAGTAGCCTTATTTGATTTTCCGTCACCCTTCTTTCCCTTCTTGGTCTTTCCATCACCCTTTGAACCCTTTGAGCCACCCTTTCTATCACCCTTTTGATGATTCTTGGATGATGAACTTGACTGCTGATACTCTGTGAAAGCCCTTTTGGCAACATCTGACCCTGGTTCACCGTTGTGTAGGTTCCTACATCCTGTTCCAAATCTACAATGTCCTGCTGCATGAAAAGCACATGGAATCTTCTTCTTCTCCTGACTCGATTTCCCAGGATCAATTGGTCCTGGGGCGGCCGGAACTGAAGCTCGAAATTCAACCTTGGGCTTGCCTGGATGCTGCTTACCTGATGGTTCCTGATGCTGAGCCGGCAAGGCAAGCTGATTCGGTGGAGAAGACTGCAACCCTTTGGACACGTTGTCGAAATTGCTATCGTGCCTCCTTTCTCTCAATTCCTCTGCGATTTGAGCCCATAGCCAATCAAACGTTCTTTTCTTGGAACCACTCCTACTGTTGCGAATCCGTTCAGTCACCCTATTCAACATCGGCACACGTTTGACTTGGTGCCACAACCAAGCATATAGCGTGCTCTCAGCTGGTCTGTCGGATGGCTTGAGGCCGTGCAAAATATAGTTCGTTTTCTTAACGAACTTTCCAACATCTTTCAGGGATTTTCCAGCCAATTGCAATGATAACAAGTGCATTTGACTGAGAGCAACTGATGTGTCGGCTCCCGTTTCATAGAAGCTGATTATGAGATTCATCAGTGGCATGCCCTTTGGCCCCTCTCGACGAGTGGCACACTCCTCAACCCACGATGTCAACTCATGAGCTAGGTCAGAGTTGGTGGCAAGGACTTCTGGTTTGATCAGCTCTGCGGCCACATGCTTATTGAACATGGAAAACGCTGTTGATGTCTGCAAATCCTCTCTGAACCTTCTACCTCTACCTCCATCCATGCAATGAACGCAAAATTTGACAAGCACATCACGATCTGTGAGGTCTATTCTGCTAACCGCGGCAAGAAAAGCCGCACGCCATTCCCTGCATGATGTAGCATCATTGGGCAATCTAGTAATCTGGATACCCTTCAAATGCTTGATCTTGTACACCTGCTCATCTGACTCACCAGGAAGAAGCCACCCCCCTGGTGGTGGACCACTGTTGCCGGCACCATCACGTCCGCCTCCTGCTGGAAGACTCTCTGACCTGTCAGTGGAACCTTGGCTGTTCGATGATGAATTCATCCTGTGAAACTGTGGCCCGCGAGCCGTGACACTTCCATGCATAGCGATTGGTTGACCATCTTGTTGGGAAGCCTGAAAAAGAGACGGAGGCATCACATGCCCTGCTTGAACCCTAGGTCCATTTGGGTCAAAAACAATCTGATGTTTCTGCATCCCCTGTTGCTCTGTAGTGGCATTGGCCGCGGCCCCCAAACCAGTCAAACATCCTGTGTTAGGAAAATTTGGTGGCATTCCAGCACATGCGCTCTCAGTAATGGGAACGACGGAGCCAGTACCAACACGCTGGATCTGTGATAGTCCAGAATGTGCAAGGCTCGGTGCTCTAAATAGCGGGGCAACACTGCTCGTCTCATGATTTACAAACTGATCCGCGCCATTGTTGGCTGTAACCGAACTGAACATTGTTGAACATTTCCAACATGACGGTCTTCCAACCACATTTTGTGATCCACAACATGCGCAGAACATCACTTCCATCGGATTGACACTAGCAACACTGCAGGCTCTCAACGTGACCTGATCAGGATCCGGTGACCTCAAGGCTGGAGTATCAAAAGGATTTCTATGAGAAAATCCAGCAACAGAGTTGGCAGTTGATGCTCTGTCTCTCTCTGCCATCTGCTGTTTCAAAGCCGCCAACTCTTGGGTCAACAAAGAGATATGGTCATGCATTGATCGCCTTTCCGAATCAAGGCGAAGATTGTCACTTTTCAACTGGGATATGGTTTCGTCAGCACGCTGCATGTTTGACATGATCTCTCCCTCAGCCCTCTTGGCCAAAATGGCCTTCTCGTGCTGAGCTTGCTGAAGCTGCTGCGAATCCCTGTTCATCTGTTGAATCGCCTGATCTCTCTCTCTCTCTGGATTTGTGTGATCTGTTGCGAACCTTCTGCCTGCATGTATTGCAACGCCTGCCTACTCGCGTGCTCTGCCTGATTTAATCGCGCTTGATGTTCTATCTCAAGTCTCGCGAGCTGCGCGTTCATTTGATCGCGCATCTGTGAAACAGTAGCCTCCACCCGATATTGAACAGTAGCATTTACCATCTGCTCAAGCTGTTGAGGATCTACCATGTGATTGATGGATTGAGTATGGTGAACATTGTGCTGAAGATGATTCAACGTGTTCTGCTGAATGTTTGGAATATTGAATTGATTCAATGATGCACCATCCTGCCCAGTCGATGACCCAGCAGCAGCCTGTCCTGACGAAGAAGTACGTCTGCCTCTCTGCATCATTGTAGTAGCAGCCGTTGACTGCAAGGCATCCTGAGACACGGCATCCCGAATCGCCGGCATATTTGATGCCGACTGCATTGGTTGATCTGGAGACTCACTCGAGGTGGTCCACTCAGAATGATCCGGTCCCACAACCCTAAACGGAGTAGCAGGCTGCTCCCTTTTCATCGACACTCTCTGGCAGAACACCCCGCGCAAAGCGCGTACTACAGACAACCACCTGAATCAGTCGCGAAATCGCGAACAGAGCAAAATGCCCAAGACTACCGCGCAAAGCGCGAACAGACAACCACCTGAATCAGTCGCGAAATCGCGAACAGAGCAAAATGCCCAAGACTACCGCGCAAAGCGCGAACTGCTGAAACGAAGCCCTCGCGCCCAAAGTGGGCAGCGATCAGAGACAAGACGAACCAATGAACTGCGTCACACTCCTGAAAATCCACAAGGTTGTAGACACCAACGTTCCAGAAGACGCCCACAATCTCAAAGAAGCTCAATTGAAGGACTTGAGCACCGATGGCACTGGGAACTCACTGACCTCCTTGTCCTTCACCAAATTGGCAAGGGGCTTCAGCGAGTCCGTCGGAGAACGACTGCTTGCAACCACAGTCTGGACCCTGTTCCCCACAGCACGACTTGACTGCAAGGATCTGATGTCCTGGCACAACTCCTCCTGGTCGTCGATGTAGATAGCACACCCAAGATCCCGGACAAGCTCTGCCTTGGACTCCCAATTGCCTGTGATGCTCGCTTTCCTGGCGTAGTCCGAGGTCTTCTTCCGAGGCACAATGGAGATCTGCGTGAAGTTGCGCTCTAGCTGGGCCTGAAGGTTCGTAGCACCGTCAAGCGTCTGCCTCTGAGTACCCACGTTGCTGGAGAAGGACACCACGCAGAAGTCAAACCCTTCCTCTGGAGCTCCCTGATGAGAACAACGGAGGCCGGAGGAACAAAGGATTCCTTCACCCCACTATCGGTGTACTTGTCGTGGCTCAAAGTGCGATGCCAATCCAAACCAATTAATGGCCTCTCAGCACCACCAGCCCCAACCGAGGTCCTTGAACCGGAACTCGGAGCAGCTCCTCTAGCCTTCTTCTTCCTTGTCGGAAGGGGTGAAGAGCTCCTCGCAGGCTCCTCCTCAACTTCTATCACCTCCTCAGCTGTGCCAGACACAGCCTTTGCCCCTGTCACCTTTGGCGACCTCGGCCGTGATGAAGTTGCCTCAGTTGTCTCCGCAGTAGGTTTCACTCTTGGCCTCGGCAACTACTTCCTAGCGCTCTCCTTTGGAGCCTCAGCCACCCGAGTGTCGGCCTTGGCAACTGGAGTTTCTGCCTCGGCCACAGATGTACCTGCCTTGCTAGGCTTTGCAGGAACACCCTTTGGACTCTTCCTCCTCAATGGCGACCTTGATCTCCTCCTTGAAGGTGCCTTTGGTGGAGCAGTCGGAGCCGCCGACCTATCCACCGACGAAGCAGCCCCAGGATCTTCCGAATTCGGAACCCACACCCAAGACAGCTGCCACTGGCCCTCAGCTGCACCACTCGGAGCTGGAGGCGGCGGAATCGGCCGAGCAGGCACCACCACCGAGGACTGGGTCACAGTGACCTGCCTCTGCGGCACACCCCTCCTTGACTCTCCACCAGCCACAGAAGCAGCTGGTACAGCCCTTGGAGGATACCTTGGCTCAACTGGCCCCTTTGCCACAGCCCCAGTTTTTGCGACTGAGCGTGACCTCTCTTCTCTCCTTTCCTGGGCAATACGATCAGCTTCAAAACTGTCCGGATCGTGGTAGTCCAGGTGGGAGACCAGGGTGTTGGATGTCATGCATTTTGATCTTGAAAAATGAGAACACTTTCTTTGCAGCTTCTGTCATTGCAGCTAGTTTCACCTTGATTTATCTACTTTTATGATCTTGCATGAACACCAATGGAAACCATTCAGCCTCGTGGCATCTTTGGCGAATCAACGCTGGTGTAGCCATGCCCAGGCAGGTTGGTTGGGTGACGGACCTTCCCTTCGATGTTTCTGAGCCCCAGACCGCGATGAGTCAAGTGCAGGAATGCACTGGCTGCCGTCACTGGCTACGAACTTCTTTTTGGCTTGTTGACGGAATCCATACCTGATATCATCATGAACATTTCTTGGAATGACCATGGTTCAAGCCTTGTTCCCCTGGTTGAGAGATTGTTTACCTTTCGACAATCCTTGCCACTGACAGTAACAGTGCATTTGTGCGTACTCACTGAAGCTGACCGCAGCACCCAGTAACGACCGCAAAGGTTGCGGAGGAAGGAATAAAGGCAGAAAAGTTGATTGTTTTTGCCCTCAACGAGCTGTTTGATTTGTGGCATCCATTGCCCTCCCAAATGTGTAGATAATTGTAGCATATTGTTGCCATGTTAAGCTTTCGAGTCCGGCATGACTGACCGACTTCAACAAGTACTTACGTCATGTATTGACAGAATCTATAATCTATAATTTAATCTATATTTATATGATAATTTAGTAAATGGTCCACACATTTGGAAACGTATTGTTTCCATGGGACATTCCTTGGAATTTGCTTGCGCCACTTAAATTGTGCGCATGGAAGCTGAGCACCTGCAAATGCAGCCGAGCTTGGCGACGCCAGGATGCTGCTGATAGATCTGATAGACTGCTCGATCAGGTCTGATGATTTCAATCTTCTGCATATGTTCTGCCAATTTTCATCATTACGGTGAGAGCCGTGAGAGCCTTAGAAGGTGAAGA